CCCCAAAACCCCAAAACCCCAAAACCCCAAAACCCCTAAAATTATTTTGTGTGTTGAAAAATGGGGGTTTGGAATGAAATTTTTTTGAAGAGGATGAGAGGGAGTTTAGTCGGATTTTGGAATTTCGAAGAGGGAGAAACTTTGAGTGAAGTCGTCCCATTTTGGAGCAGAGGGGTGGTTAGGGGTCTGGGAGGGTGAAGGAGAGACTTGGAACGCTTTTTGGGGCTCTTCTTGGGGGTCTTTTAGGTGGTCTTCTTGGCTCTCCTCATGACTTGACTGGGCTACGATATTGATTCCAGGCAGTTTTTGATAACTTGAGGTATTTGATCGGCAATTTATTGATTTAAAAGGGCTTGGAAAAGACACTAAACTGCTTGATTTCTTCATACATCTGGAACTATTTCTTGTAGGATGCTGCTTCCGGGATGACTGTAAAAGAGAATGCTTGGCAATACTAGGATTTTCAAACGTCGAACTCCATCTCACAGACTTTTTAGAGCTTGTCCTGAGCATTCTCTTTTGACTTATACTTGGTCTCAAAGAAGTATTCTGTAAGAACTCCTTCGATATATGGTTCCTCGCTGATACAATAGGGCTAGAATCAGGTCTGCCTCCCAAAAAATTGAAGTTCTGCATCACTCTTTTTGGAGGGCTCAAATTCTGGTGAGGCTCTTCAAAGATATCAGAATTGTCAATTTTAAGCCAAAAATTTTCCTTGACTCTTTTTGGATCTTCATCTATTGGGCTTTGCTCTATCCTCTCCTTACCTAAATTTAGAGCTTTAGAGATAATCTGTAAGTTCTGATTTCTGTCTCATCTCTTGAAAGTTTTCCTTGGCTTGAGTCTCATTTGGTAATTCTTAAGACAGTCACCGAAACTAACTTTTCCAGTGTTCCTTCTGGAACTCTTGCGTGCATACTGTTTTTCCTTTCTAAAAGTGTAATTATGGCTAGTTTTTGACTGGACTAGCCTCTTTTGAGCCTGATTTCTTGACAATTTATGCTCAATATCTTTGCTCAGTTTGGTCAAAGATTTATTCAAACTAATCTTTGTATCTGCCAACTTCTTCTTAGTTCATTTTACGATGAGTTTGTGAAGACCTCTTCATCCCATGAGGAATAGTCGGTTTTGCGCGGTTCCGACTACTCTTTTCCATAATTTTAAGCTTTCGCTTATCTCGCATAGTTTTCAAGAGTGATTCCTGAAGGATATTCCTCGACTTTTGTTTATTACTCTGAACAGTATGATATCCTTTCTCAATAACTTTCCTTGCTGTTAATTCTGCTCATGATTTGGATGGTGCAGGAATTTGGCCTAGAAATTTGTCAAAATGACATAAATTTTTCAAAAATACCTGTTTCTTGTGAATTTCTCCTTCCTCGACCTGTTGAGCCTATTGACTCATTCCTTTGATTCGTCTTGTCAGTTTGTTTGTACTAGAAAATAAATAGGCTTTGTAGCTTACCTTTTCAATGTAAAATTATTCTTGCTTACTTTCTATAAGAAATTTAATTTACCATGATTTTAACAAGTTCAGTAAGAATTCTAGAAATCTAAGCATGAGTACAAGTACCAGAAAGAAATTCATTAGAGAGGAATGTATACTCAAGGAGAACTAACTGTACAAGTGAAACTCTTTCGATTACAAGTATCTTAGCACTCCATTTAAGGAACCAAAGTCCTTCGTTTTATCTGATGATCTCTAATCCTCTAATCTCTTTTATACTACTGTATTTTAGCCAGGTACGAACATCAGATTACTTGAAGCCTGGCGACAGTAAACTTCTAATTTGGTCTGTTAAAGAAATACATAAATTCTGATTCCTATCCCAAAAGGACATTTTCTACACTAACAAGGATGAAGCTAATTTTATGATTTTTCTTAAATCCTTAGGGAAATTGAAATAATTGCTCTATAATTTCATAACCTTGTGGTTTGTCACCATTTTGTTCATGAAAATTATGCCGAAGAAGTGGATGGAAATCATCCAAGAATGATACAATATTTTGGATAAGAACACACTGACCATAAATATTGATCATTTTTATGCTTCTGTTTGCACTTCTAAGTGATAGGATCTTTTCTCTGATAGATTAGATCAAGTCAAATTAGAAGAATGGCATATCACCCAAATTTGTCAATGATAATTAGGTTTAAACCAATTGATGAATGAATATTAGTTCCTGAATTGGAAAATATTCATAAGATATGGTTTAGAGAGACTCATCAAGCAATTTGAATAGACAAAGAAGAGAATTGAATCATAGTGTATTCCAAGGATTTATACATACCTTCGAAGTCAAATTAGGCTCCAGTACCATATCTATATTATCCGTATTAGAATTCTGAATGCTTAGAAACAAAGTGAGTATCGCTTGCATAAAGTGATTTCTCGGATTCAAGACATCGAACGAAATAAATTACCTCAAAAATCCATCACCAAATCCAAAAACTCCAAAACCCCAAAACCCCAAAACCCCAAAACCCCTATAAAATACCGAATTATTGGCACACAACTCTAGAAATCAAACCCTCATAAATTTGCATTTTGCCCTTTAAGAGTGTGATATTTAGCTTTAACCTAAGTGAGCTTAGCCATAAAGATTAGTTTCGATGAACTCTGGCCTCGGTGCTTGTTTATTTTAATCATTGATTAGACTTCATAGTGTGCAAATTTTTATTGGGAAATACCTATGAAATAGTTGCACTCTCCGCAGGTATGGGTGACTCTGTAGCAGCTGGGGACGTAGCAAGGAGCACAACAACACATTGGGAAGAAAAGGTACAAGATTATGAATAGTATCCATTGTGTCGGTGAAATACTTATTTTAGTCTTTGTGTAGCGTAAAGAATCACCATGCCCACAATTCGGTCACTTTATAGGTATAGGCTTATTCATCCCATAGCAGCTTGGGGGTGGGACGTAGTGTTGTTGAGGAGCATAAGGATCATAACTGGCTGGTGCTGGAGGTCCCATAGGTCCTGCTCCATACGCTCCTGAAGACCCTCCATATCCTTGAGAAGGGTACAGATTAGTACTGTTATTGTATTGTCCTGGTCTGCCACCTCCAAAATGGTTGGCATTAGATGGATTCACCTGAACTGGTTCTCCAATCACGACTTTAGGTGCAGTTTTCATATTTAATCGTTATTGCTATTTTTATACGGATTTTAGGGGTTTTGGGGTTTTGGGGTTTTGGGGTTTTGGGGTTTTGGGG